AATAAAATAAAAGAAACCTACAGGGGAATGGTAAAAAGACAAGCACAAAACCCTTTGTTTTTCTCACTTGTAAACTGAAGATGTTGTACCCAGAGGTCTCTAAAGCCCCTCATAACTTTATTGTTCCCTGATCTTCAATTAATAGAATTGGATTTTGCTTCTCTACCTCTCCCATCTGACTATCTGACTGTGAAACCCCTGATTACAGGAACCATGTCTGGTCTATTCTGGTGCCATCAGAGCCTACCACAGTGTCTGGCTCAATACATCTGCTTGCCAAGTGAACACATGACTTACGTAGAGCTCAGCAAGGGGCACAAGAGAGGTTCAGATAAAGCTCTCAGGGTGTCTAAGGGGGACTGTCTGAGGTGTATCTTTGATGTCTGTCTGCCAGGCTGGAATGCAGTAGTGTGATCATGGCTCACTGCAGCCTCGACCTCCTGAGCTCAAGTAATCCTCCCCCTTTAGCCTTCCAAGTAGCTGGAACTATAGGTGTACGCCACTATACCCAGCTAATTTTTAATTTTTTTTTTTGAGATGGAGACTTGCTCTGTTGCCCAGGCTGGAGTGCAATGGCGTGACCTCGGCTCACTGCAACATCCACCTCCCAGGTTCAAGCGATTCTCCTGCCTCAGCCTCCCGAGTAGCTGGGATTACAGGCATGTGCCACCACACCCAGCTAATTTTTGTATTTTAGTAGAGACGGGGTTTCACCATATTGGCCGGGATGATCTGGAACTCCTGACCTCAGGTGATCTCTCCCCCTTGGTCTCCCAAAGTGCTAGGATTACAGGCATGAGCCACCGTGCCCAGGAGTTGGCCTCTTTCTCATTCAGCAGTGACACCATAGAGGCATATGATGCATACAGGCATATAAGGCTCAGAGGCATGGAGGCAATGACACTGCAGAGGAAGTGAGAATGAATCACTCCCAAGAAGGCAAGATTCCAGAATATGAGTGTGTCTAAAGAAAAGACCACCTCTCAATATCTGAATGAAAAAGCTGCATTTACAACAGTACTTACTTAAGGGAGGTGGAGCTGGGCCTGTTAGGTGCAATCCCTGTGGGTGGAGTAGGGCACTGATCTTATTATATAAGGTGCTAGGCGGTTGAAGATTAATGGTGGGCACATATCAAGGGAGGTAGTGTTTAGGGATTGGTTGGTCAACCAGTATGGCTATTACTGATTGGCTGGCTGTAAAATGCCTGGTCAGTGAGAAAAACTGTTCAGCTGAAGGGAGATGGATTGTCCTTGATTAAATGGCTTCAAACTGGTTGTGGTGGTGACCTGTTGCCATGGCAACAGAACAGCCTTTCCTGTGGGTATGAGCTTTTTTTTCCCCCTCAAGTGACTGGTAGCTCAAAACATTCACTCTCAGAAGTTGTTTTCCTTATGAAGGACCACATCGGCTCTGGGGAGGGGAGCTCACAGGCTGGATGGGGTCAGAATACCTGCCAGGCCCAGGTATTCAAAGGTCCAGTTTGTCACCTCTCCAAGATCCTGTGGCTGAGGTGTTTCCAACACAGGGATCAGGGAAGTTAGCTGTAAGGTAGGGAACATACCAAATCAGAAATGGGACCTAGGGCTGGGCATAGCTCACACCTGTGATCTCAGCACTTTGGGAGGTCAAAGCAGGAGGATCCCCTGAGCCTAGGAGCTTGAGACCAGCCTGGCCAACATAGCAAGACCCCATTTCTTTCTTTCTTTTTTTTTTTTTTTAAAGAGATGGGGTTTCTCCATGTTGGCCAGGCTGGTCTTGAACTCCTGACCTCAGGTGATTCACCCACCTCGGCCTCCCAAAGTGCTGGGATTACAGGTGTGAGCTACCGTGCCAGGCCAACCCCATTTCTTAAAAAAAAAAAAAAGAAAAGCTGGGTGTCATGGCACATGTTTGTAGTCTCAGCTACTTGGGAGGCTGAGATGGGAGGACTGAGCTCAAGAGTTAGGCTGTGGTGAGTTGTGAACACGCCACTGCACTCCCACCCTCAGGAGTGCAGTGGTGCAATCTCGGCTCACTACAACCACTTGTCCCAGGTTCAAGCGATTCTCCTGCCTCAGCCTCACAAGTAGTTGGGATTACAGGTGTGTGTCACCACGCCTGGCTAATTTTTGTATTTTTTTTTTTTTTAAAACGGGGTTACACCATGTTGGCCGGGCTGGTCTTGAACTCCCGACCTCAGGTCATCCGCCCGCGTTGGCCTCCAAAGTGTTTGGATTACAGGCGTGAGCCACCATGCCCGGTCCTAATTTTTGTGTTTTTAAGAGACAGGGTTTCACCATATTGGCCAGGCTGGTCTTGAACTCCTGGCCTCATGTGAACTGCCCACCTCGGACCCTCAAAGTGCTGGGATTTCAGGCGTGAGCCACTGCGCCCAGCTGCCATGTTTTGTTTATTCATTCACCAGCTGATGGACATTTGGGTTGTTTCCACCTTTTGGCTATTGTGAAAAACGCTGCTATGAACATTTGTGTAGGAATTTTTGCGTGGCCATGTTTTCATTTCTCTTGAGTATATACCTAGGAGGGGAATGCGTCATGTGGTAACTCTATGTTTAGCCACTGAGGAATTCACGTAGGTTTCTATTTTTAACTTTTTATTTTATTGAGATGGAGTCCGGCTCCGTCTCCAGGCTGGAGTGTAGTGGTGTGATCTCAGCTCACTGCAACCTCCACCTCCTGGGCTTAAGCAATTCTCCAGCCTCAGCCTCCTGAGTAGTTGGGACTACAGGCGCGTACCACCACGAGCAGCTAATTTTTTTGTATTTTTTAGTAGAGATGGGGTTCCTCTATGTTGGCCAGGATGGTCTCGATCTCTTGATCTTTTGATCCGCCCGCCTTGGCCTCCCAAAGTACTGGGATTACAGGCGTGAGCCACCATGCCCCGCCGAACCTTTTTTTTTTTTTGAGATGGAGTCTCACTCTTGTTGCCCAGACTGGAGTGCAGTGTCACCATCTCAGCTCACTGTAATGTCTGTTCCCCCAGTTCAAGCAATTCTCCTGCCTCAGTCTCCCAAGTAGCTGGGATTACAGGCACCTGTCACCACAACCAACTAATTTTTTGGATTTTTAGTAGAGATAGGGTTTGCCAGGCTGGTCTGGAACTCCTGACTTCAGGTGATGCGCCTGCCTTGGCCTCCTAAAGTTCTGGGATTACAGGTGTGAGCCACCACACCCAGCCTAATTTTTATATTTTTAGTAGAGACAGGGTTTCACCATGTTGGCCAGGCTTCTCTCAAACTCCTGACCTCAAGTCATTCACCCACCTCGGCCTCCCAAAGTGCTGGGATTAAAGGCATGAGCCACCATGCCTGGCCCCATGTGGGTTTCTGATGGTTGTTTCTTGTCCATATTTCTGAGGCTGGACGGTGTTGAGCCTGCTCCCAATAACACCTCTGGGAGGCAGGACATTTTCCTCCACTGCAGAAATATAACAGTCAGTTGGGCATGGTGGCTCCTGCCTGTAATCCCAGCACTTTGGGAGGCCGAGGTGGGAGGATCACCTGAGCCAGGAAGGTCAAGGCTGCAGTGAGCTATAATCACGACACTGCACCTCAGCCCGGTTGACAAAGCAAGACTCTGTCTCAAAGGAATATAACAACCACCAGTTCCCCTGTTCCACCTCTGACAAAATCCTTACTATTGGATACTTGGCCACTTTGCCATCAGCTGGCAGGTACCTTTAAAAGCTTTCCTTAGTCAATCGGTAGTCACTGAATGCTGACCTGAAAATACATGATTGATTTATAGACTATACTGCGGCAGCCATGAGAATACACCCTTCAAATCTCATAGAGCAGGAGCTGACTTTTTTGTGTTTGAGATAGGGTCTTGCTCTGTTGCCCAAGCTGGAGTGCAGTGGCATAATCTTGGCCTTCCAAGTAACTGGAACTACAGGCATGTACTAATATACTAGCTAATTTTATTTTTTTAGAAACAGGATCTCACTGTGTTGCCCAGAGCCTGGTCTTGAACTCCTGGACTTAAGTGATCTACCTGCCTTGGCCTCCCAAAGTGCTCGGAATATAAGCATAAGCCACCATGCCCAGGGCAGGGAGCTCATTGGCTGAGGCCCTCTCCCAGCATTCAGAGGCTGTGCTGCCAATGGCCGCATTCAGTCATGACTTAGCATCCCTGAATCAAGGATGTGAAAGCAGGTCCCGGGAACCTGAGGACCCCTCTGAAGGGTAACTTTGGCTGGAATAGCCCCCCACAGGCTTGCCGAATTTTCCCCGGAAGTGCATTTGCAATCTAAGACGACGCTGCCACCTGCCAAACCTTCCTTCCTCCTTCCCTTACGCAGCATCACACCTGCGCTCCCAGCCCCCTTTCCCATCACAGGCACTTCTCCTAACGTATTTCCTTCAAATCCTGTCTTGGCAACTGCTTTTCAGAGATCCTGGACTAACACACTGCTAACTTCACAACAATTCACTAAACTTGATGCAAATTAATCCCAAATCACAAAGTTTCTGCCAGTTTTTTTTTTTTTTTGAGACAGAGTTTCGCTCTTGTTACCCAGGCTGGAGTGCAATGGCACGATCTCGGCTCATCGCAACCTCCGCCTCCCAGGTTCAGGCAATTCTCCTGCCTCAGCCTCCTGAGTAGCTGGGATTACAGGCACGCGCCACCATGCCCAGCTAATTTTTTGTATTTTTAGTAGAGACGGGGTTTCACCGTGTTGATCAGGATGGTCTCGATCTCTTGACCTCGTGATCCACCCACCTCGGCCTCCCACAGTGCTGGGATTACAGGCTTGAGCCACCGCACCCGGCCTAGTTTTTCTTTTTTTAATTTTTTTAGAGCAGGGTCTCACTTTATTGCCCAGGCTGGAGTATAGTGGCTATTTACATGTGTGATCATAGCATATTGAAGCCTCAAACTCCTGGCCTCAAACCATCCTCCTGCTTCAGCCTCCTGATCAGCTGGGACTACAGGCACGTGCCTCCTCTGCCCAGATCGCCTGCCTGTTTTTAAGGTGCAATTTTGAGGTCAGGCTCAGTGGCTCACACAGGTAATTCCAGTGCTTTGGGAGGCCAAGGCAGGAGGATCACTTGAGGCCAGGAATTTAAAACAAGTTTATGCAACATAGGTAGACCTTGTCTAAAAAAAAAAAAAAAAAAAAAAAAAAGAAAAGAAAATGTGATCTAAGATAATACAGGCTAGGAAATCAGTTTTATGTGAATGAAAGCAGAGGGTCAAAATGTTTGCTTATTGCCCTGCTTTGAGCATTGTTGTCATTACAGTTTTCACACAGGGTCTAGTGGCAGACGGCTTGGTGCACATCAGGTGGTTTTGAGAGTGCCATACATTTAAAAGCAAGAAGGCTTGGACTAAAGCCAGGTCTCATCCTAAGGCTGACAATGGGCTGGGGACCAGAGAAGCCCAGGTGCTGTCAGGGGAGTCCTTGCGGAAGCCACAGCCTGCCAGAGAGCCCTCCTCTTTCTTTTCTGCCAGCTCCAGCTTTGTTTACCTGCAGATGGCGACACCATTTTGGGCGGGGCAGCTGAAGTCCCTGAAGCACTGCTTTCCCATTTAGAACCTGAGTCTTGAGGCATCATCTGGGCTCACGCCCTCTCTGAGGCATAAATCCTCTCCTCCTCAGACACCAGCTGAGCTGGGAGATCTGGACATCAGGCGATGAGTCTGCAAGATGGTTTAACAACTAAGGACATGTGGTGTCCTCACAGGAGTCCTGTGGGCTGAGCAGCAGCCGCCCCTCCTTCCACCCAGCACAAAACTTTTGCCCGGCTCTTTCTAAATCTGGGCCTTCAGTGCATGTTTAGTACTTGACGAGGGAGTTCTTCTGTGGAAAAAATAAATGGGAAAGGAAGGCTTTATTAACCTAAGGGGCAGTGGAGGGTAACAGGGCTGTGCTGTGACTCCTGGTTAGCTTCTTTTTCTTTCTTTCTTTCTTTTTTCTTTTTTTTTTTGAGACGGAGTTTTGCTCTTGTTACCCAGGCTGGAGTGCAATGGCGTGATCTCGGCTCACCGCAACCTCCGTCTCCTGGGTTCAGGCAGTTCTCCTGCCTCAGCCTCCTGAGTAGCTGGGATTACAGGCACGTGCCACCATGCCCAGCTAATTTTTTGTATTTTTAGTAGAGACGGGGTTTCATCATGTTGACCAGGATGGTCTTGATCTCTTGACCTCGTGATCCACCCGCCTCGGCCTCCCAAAGTGCTGGGATTACAGGCTTGAGCCACCGTGCCCGGCCTGCTTCTTTTTCTTTTTTGAGATGGAGTTTCACTCTCGTTGCCTAGGCTGGAGTGCAGTGGCACGATCTCGGCTCACTGCAACCTCTACCTCCTGGCTTCAAGCAATTCTCCTGCCTCAGCCTCCCAAGTAGCTGGGACTATAGGCATACACCACCACGCCTGGCTATTTTTTTTGTATTTTTAGTAGAGATGGGGTTTCTCCATGTTGGTCAGGCTGGTCTCAAACTCCTGAACTCAGGTGATCCGCCTGCCTTGGCCTCCCAAAGTGCCGTGATTAAAGGCATGAGCTACTGCGCCCGGCCCCTGTTTAGCGTCCTTATCTGAGTGTTTTTTCTTTTTCCTTTCTTTGAGACAGGGTCTCACTTTGTTGCTCAAACTGGAGTGGTGTGATCATAACTTACTGAAGCCTCCACTTCCAAAGCTCAAGCAATCCTCCCACCTCAGCCTCCCTAGTAGCTGGGACAACAGGTGTTCACTACCACGCCCAGCTAATTTTTGTATTTTGTTGTAGAGAGAGGTTTTTGCCATGTTGCCCAGGCTGGTCTCAAACTCCTGGGCTCAATTGATCCTCTTGCCTCAGCTTCCCAAAGTGCTGGGATTCCATGTGTGAGCCACCACGCCTACCCCTTATCTGAGTTTTCCTAACAGTCTGACCAATAAGCTTGTTGTTGTAAAGCTGTAGGAGTCCTGGGAATTTCCCTGAATGAAACACTGCTCTACAAGGAGAGGCTTTGTGTCCTAAGAGTTCAGGGTTTAGGGGCTGGCTGGAGGCCTCAGGTAGAGAGGAAGGCCCAGTTAGGATTTTCTTTACCAGAGTCTATCACTGATAAGTGCCTTGGCTTGGGGAATACCTGCTAAGAGGGCATGGAGCACAGATCCCCCACTGACATCTCCGCAGTCCAAGCAGGAAGCAGGACTTAGTGGCCCCACTTACTCCCTACAGGATAGGAAAGGAGGGCAGTGCCCCGGTGAGGAGCTGTACAGGGGGTCCCTTGGGATGCTTGCTGGAAGGGTGGGGAGGGCACAGGACGTACTGGGACCGTGATGGGATAAAAGCCCCTCCCACTTGATTTATTTTCAGGCCTGTAATGCTCGCCTGCGTGCACCCAGTGCTTCAGCAATCAACCCCGACAAATGCCTTTTGTCCTGTGTTCAGTAGAGATAAGAAAAAAAAATTAGTAGAGGGCAAAAAACACTGGTTTACTCTAACTCTTTACTGGCATTCAAGAAACTTCTTCGCTTTGATAGGCTTTAAGCTTCTTCCCTGATTCAAAACGCTGTGATTGGCACTAAATGGATCCCTATCTCGGCCCAGATAGTCTAGCTTCTGGCCGCAAAATCTTTGGTGTCCTCGCAATGGGGCAGGCATAATCTCTCCTTCTCTCTCCCTTGATCTTCCCTGCCTCTCTTTACAAGGTTTCACTCTGTCACCCAGCCTGGACTGCAGTGGTGCAATCATGGCTCACTGCAGCCTCAACCTCCCAGGCTCAAGCAGTCCTCCCATGTCAGCCTCCGGAGTAGCTGCGTCCACAGGCATACACCAGCACATCCAGCTAATTTTTGTATTTTTTTTTGTTTGTTCTGAGATGGAGTTTCCCTCTTGTTACCCAGGCTGGAGTGCAATGGCGCAATCTCGGCTCACCGCAACCTCCGCCTCCCAGGTTCAGGCAATTCTCCTGCCTCAGCCTCCCGAGTAGCTGGGATTACACGTGCCACCATGCCCAGCTAATTTTTTGTAGTTTTAGTAGAGACAGGGTTTCACCATGTTGACCAGGATGGTCTCGATCTCTTGACCTTATGATCCACCCACCTTGGCCTCCCACAATGCTGGGATTACAGGCTTGAGCCACTGCGCCCGGCCCTCAGGGAGTTTATGAAGGACAAACGCATCATCCTAAGTGTAGGTCCCTGTGTGGGGTGTATGAAATAGTTAAGATGAAGTGCCCATCCACAAGGAGTTTGCAGTTGAATAGCGCTGAGGCAAGCATAATAAATCTCAGGTGGGGGGGCGCGTGGTGGCTCAAGCCTGTAATCCCAGCAGTTTGGGAGGCTGAGGCAGGTGGATCACCTGAGTTTAGGAGTTCGAGACCGGCCTGGCCAACATGGTGAAATCCCGTCTCTACCAAAAATACAAAAATTAGCCAGGCGTGGTGGTACATGCCTGTAATCCCAGCTACTTGGGAGGCTGAGGCAGGAGAATCGCCTGAATCCAGGGGGGGGTTTTTTGAGGGAGCTGATAGCCTGCCACCGCACGCCCGGGGAAAAAAAAAGAAAAAACCACCAAAAAAAAAAAAAAAAAAAAAATATATATATATATATATATATGTACACACATATATAATGTTAACAATATATTTAAAATTCATGACTAGTTGTTTCCATTCATCATCTCATCTATTTCTTCCAACAGGGCTTTGCTTAGGTGGGTATGAATATGATTACAGACAGGAAAACAGGATTAGAAGTTGAGTGAGTCATGGCAGGCCCCAGAGCTAACCAGAAACAGGAACATTTGAACTTGAGTTTCCGAGCATCTTCTTCCTACTCGTACTTCTTACTCAATACAGAAATGAGAGAACTCAGTGAGGAGACGAGGTGACACGTGCACAGAACCTTGAATTTCTTGAGAGCAGGAGGAGGAGAAAAAAACAGTAGGAATCAGGCTAGGAGTGTGGATTTGGAGCAAGGCAGGACAAAAAGTCAAGGTTAAGGCTGGAAAAGCTCTCCCTGGGAGTGCTTGAACAACAGATTAGGATGAGGGAACAGCAGGAAAGATCAGAGGGGGAACCTCCTATGAGACAGGCTCCGCAGTGAAACTCCCATAGAGGTGGAGCACTGGGGGCTTGAACCAGCCCTTCGAGGGCATTCTAGCTTTGCAGCCCTGGGGTCCTGCGAGTTCTGGGTGCAGCTTTCAGGGTTGCACCTTATTCCAGTCACCTCTCCGTTACTGAATCCATCTTCTCCTAGCTACGAAGGAGGGATGCTATGGTGGGGGTGCAGACCAGGCCACTGGATAGCCTGGGTTTGAGTCCTGATTTATCCTCCACTTCCTAGCTGACTTTGCACAATGATTCCCCTGGTCCTTGGTTTCTTTATCTGTGGAACGTAGCTATAATAGTTCCTACATAATATGAATTCTTGGGGTTGAAATGATGCATTAAAACACTAGTTGGCCAGGCGCGGTGGCTCACGCCTGTAATCCCAGCACTTTGGGAGGCAGATTACGAGGTCAGGAGATCGAGACCATCCGGGATGACACGGTGAAACCCCATCTCTACTAAAAATACAAAAAATTAGCTGGGCATGGTGGCATACCTGGTAGATTTTGATAGCGATACTAGAAAAGTTAACATGTACCAGTAAAGCGCCTATTGCTTGCCAGTGTTTTGAGTGCTTTGCAAACAACTCATTCAATCCTCCTATCTCCAGAAGACCCTCTGAGACAGGTTATATCTTTTCCCCACTTGCAGATGAGGAAATTTGCCCAAGGTGACAGAAATCGGGACTCAAGCCCAGGCTGCTGACTCCTAAGACCATGCTCTTACGCCACTATTGTCTGTGGCCTCCATGTTGTTGTTGTATTTTTGGCATTTGTTGACTTTTAAGTGTGGGAAGAATTTGAGAGGCAGAGAAAAGGCACTTTGGGAATAACATGAACCAAAACACAAGTGGTCTGCAGCTACATTATCATAATGGCTCCTGTTTGTGAGGGTTTAGTGCAACCAGTGTTTTTTGTTTGTTTGTTTTTGAGACAGAATCTCACCCTCTCCCCAGGCTGGAGTGCAGCTGCGAGATCACAGGTCACTGCAACCTCCGCCTCCCAGGTTCAAGCGATTCTCTTGCCCAAGCCTCCCGAGTAGCTGGGACTACAGGCACGTGTCACCACACCCAGGTAATTTTTTTTTGTATTTTTAGTAGAGTAGGGGTTTCACTATGTTGGTCAGGCTGATCTCGAACTCCCGACCTCAAATGATCCGCCCACCTTGGCCTCCTAAAGTGCTGGGATTACAGGCGTGAGTCACCACACCAGCCCAATATTATTGTTGGCTACTTACACATGGGCCTTATTTGCCATCTGCTTGCTTGAAGGGCAGGAAACATATTCAACCCATCCTTGAGTCTAGCCCATGGCCTGGCTCATGTTTAGTGCTCGTTAAAGTGTCTAGATTGAAATCAACCAGGACATTGGCCTGCCACAGTGGCTCACACCTGTCATTCCAGTGCCTCTGGGAGGTTGCTGCCGGAGGACTGCTTGAGGCCAGGAGTTTGAGACAAGCCCAGTCAACGTAGTGAGACCCAAGCCAGGAGTTTGAGACCAGCCCGGTGAAGATAGCGAGACCCGTCCCTACAAAATCTAACAGAAACAACTATTCAAGAGGCTGAGGCAGGAGGATGGCTTGAGCCCAGGAGTTCAAGA